CACTTACCTTTTCTGGAGAGAATCGGTAGCAGTACTGATCTTTGTAGTTCCATTGGAAACCATCGCATGCTGAAAGCGTACTGCTATAGAAGGTGTACCTTGCAGAGAACTTGTTGTAAGAAAATAAGGGAAACGGTCAGGTGTATCAGGAGGTCAGAGTTGAGGTTACACTTAGACACTTAGTTGAGGTTAGACTGTAACTCATCGCGCTGCATGTTCTAGTTAGTCGACTCGTGTAGTACTTTTGCGTCAAACAAATAGGTCCTAGTGCTAATGCCGTCACGTAAAACTCCACGTTGTCCAGGAATCGGATCTCCTGATCCACACCAATCGACTGGCCAATACGTACAGTCCTCATCATTGCGGACCGGTGGGGCGTGTCAGCCAGAAGGAGTGCGCACACTGTTGAAGCCGTTCTCAGCCTTTTTTGTTGCAACGCGTATGCGACAAAAAGTGGTAGAAAACGAGTAATACGAAGGATATAATACAGTAATGCACTTGCCCGCTTCAAAAACTGGTGCAGAACGATTTTGCCAAACCGCACCAAACGCAGCCGCACTGCCACGCCCCACCGGTCCGCAATGATGAGGACTGTAATTTCAAACCTTGAATGAACTGTTGAATGTTGAGTTCTGGATCATCGATCAGCGGGACTGAGAGCATGTTGTAGAGACCAGGCGAGCCATCGGTAGAGAGTAACGACCACGCTAGTGATGATTGCGTCACCTACTGCTGAATAATTTTCGTCTTAATTGAATAAAGAAAAAATGGGGCTCAGTATTTAGGCTATGAAACTTTTGCATTGTGGACCTAAAAGAAAAATTTATCAAAAGCATTTCACCCATTGTGGATTTTCCTCGGGAGCAAACGACCACCTCGATCACGACTGGGGATAATCGGCCGTATCACTACGGTCCTACCCCCGTCCAAAAACAGCGTATCCCTACTAAGCCCACTCTTGATCTTTCAGTAAGAACTGTCATGAATTCCGCGCTTATTAGTGCGACTCCTCTACTTTGCTGGATACTGCCGCGGCATCTGTTCTGTGCATTGCGCTGGAGTTCTGCAGAAGCGTCAGAGGTTGCAGAAGGACCTTCTTTGAACAGCCATAAAGCTAGACAACATTCCGCCAGCTTCGCCTCAGAAAGATGTGAGGTAGAGGCGTTTATCCGCAACGTTGCTCAGATGGCTCCACCAGAGTGCAAGTGACCCTGCCCTGCGTTGGTGCCAGCTTTTCGTGCGTGTATTTTCTCCCTCGCTCTTCTCTGGTCTCTTGAACGAAGATCCAGCAAATCTCTTCCTGCTGACTAAGAAATAGGCGGCGTTAACTGGGGGACGTTACCGGCTGCCGTTTGCCAAAGCCTTTTTTCCCCAAGCGCGCTTAGTCGAGTGGCTCGCATTCTTGCCTTTGGCTATCCTGTCACCTAACATTTTGCGACGAGGTATCGCTGAAAAGACGCACTCGCGAAAAGAGCACTTGAAGCTAAGAGAAGCTACATGACCCGATAGAGTAACGGAACCTACGCAGCACACTACCCGGGCCGAAAGCTTCTTTGAACCTACTGCGGGAGACGAAGGGATGCGCTTGTTTCATGGCCTGGGCCCAACGAAAAACAGCTAAAAGAACAAATCAGATATATCCCCCTTTCCCGAAGCAAAGCATGACTAAATGATCCGAATCATGAAAACTGTGACTTTTTCAATTTACATTTTGTATTGAGGTGTTTAAGCCAAGGGCTTCTTGAGGCCCACCCCAGAGACCTGGCGATCAAGAGACCTACCCAATGTGAAGGACTCAGTTGACGAGTCTATTGGAACATAGTAGCTAACACCCTTGGAGCAATCTTCGAAGTACACTCGAGAGGCTAGGCCAGATTTGTAGAATGACGAGATGAATGGCAGCATCTGAATATAGTTTAGGAGTCTTTTCAGTAACTTGTGAAACGTACTTACTTTTATGACCGTGCTATGGGCCTGATGGCCGGCACCGTGCCTCGGCCATCAGGCCTATTGCACGAGCGAAAAATGGCTGATATTGACCCTTCAAACACTATAATCCCAGTTGAGATCTGGGGCCTTTATATGAGGCATGTAACAAGCAGCGGTGGTGTACATTCCATATTATGGTTCCGAGGCAGACGCGCTGCAACTGCGCGCCAAAGAAATTCAGCGCACCACCTTGCGACCAGAAAGAATGGACCATGTGGAACCAAAAATGAGCTTGGACACAGTTCTTGTGGGCGTGGTCAAATCTACTATGCACCTCGCTCATTGGTTCGCCGCTCCTCTTCACAGTCCTAGAGAAAATAGCGCACCACTGAAGAGGCACAACGACACCATGACTCCGCCCATACAATCAATGTGTACAATGCCTTTCAGTCTACCTTACCTTATCCACTTGTGGCGTCATGTAGACAAAACCAGACGTCATAGAGGAGAGGCTCTGGAGATAGTCCGGGAACTGACCATTATTTTTTGGATCCGTGCAAATCGTATTACCCACACCAACCAAGTTCAACTGTAAAATGTAAAATGAGCACTTATCTGGGAGCATTAGCTCTCAGAAACATGCAAAAGACTTTTGCAACTTTATCTTACAACTTAGCAACTCACTGATATTTGGTATTCGGTAGCATGAGAATACAAGGTTATAAAGGAATCGGTGTCAGGTCCATCGGAATCTGCGAACAGATACACGGATGAACGAGGTTCAGAGTAGTAAGTAGCCAAGAGTAGGCCGGATTCGAT